CGGAAGTCCCGGCCCTCCGAGAATTGAGGTCAGCGAGGTTCTGAATACCAGAGGTCAGTTGGACTGCTGGAGACAAGCGGAGAGTTTAGGCTCACTGATGACCGGAAGTGACCAGTGCCGTGGCGTCTTGAAGTAAGTTGATTGGGATGAGTTCATTAGCGATTCAACAATATGGTATTTAGTGTAGGGAGAGATGGAGTGGGGATAGGGGAGATCACTAGAGTTAAGAAAATATATTTTTGTTTTTGAAATTACGCGTAGAAATAGGAAAATAGTACTCAATTGTTCGTAAAGTTCCCTTTTCAAACCTGACGGTCTATAGGGCAAGTGAAGTAGAGTTCACTTGTTTCTGTAACCTCGGAGATAGTGTGGACAGCACTATGCCCAGCCGCCTATACTTTCCCTAACGTGATTTAGGTACCCATCAGAGCTGGGTGGACTCACGGACGGTCTACTGACTTAAACCCGGACTCGAATTCGAGACTTACGGGTTAACAGTCCAGCTCTCTACCGCTAGACCACTCCGTTCCGACTCAATTGTTTAGATTATAAATGTAAACCGTATCAGAATAATGAGGTGGTATAGACGCGATTTTCCGTTGCGCTTTTTTTCAGCGAAGTGTGATCTATAGCCCCTATGGTACGTGGGCTGTTCCATACAATATGACACCCTTCTAAACAATATAAGACCCGTCCATAATAAATGGGACCATCTATAAAATATGGCACCCTTCAATACAACATTGGACCCTTCCATAATACATGGGATCATCTATAAAACATGGGACCCTTCCATAATACATGGGACCATCTATATAACATGCGCCACTTCAATACAACATGGGACCATTATATACAATATGGGACCTTCTTTTTTGGTACATTTTTTTTTTGTGTACTATGAAAAAAAAGCAAGGCAACTTTTTGGCATTCGTTCTTCCCAAAAATAGTTTCTCCTGCTATGATATAAAACATTAGGGAAATGCTAATCTTCCCTAAGTAGAGGCAAGGGCACAGAATTAGAACACACCGGGACTTAAAGACAACTAAAGGGGGATCACTCAGCCACTCATCCGACAAAAATCGAATCCTCCGACCTGCAAACAAGGGGAGATCATTCACCATCTCATCCACCAAAAATCGAACGTCCTTTTTGCAGTCTAGGGACGGACTTCCTCTCCAACTACTTAATAATGAAATGTCGGATAATTGCGGGCCTTTGTTTTTTCTAGAGGTTTATTTCGGTTACGGCTCCTCGTGACCTCGACAGGGAAAAAATAATTTTAAATTAAATCGTAGCCATACCGCCGAGACGGCCAAATGAAATTTTCTGCTTTCGTTTTCTCAGCATGCCGTAGGTGGGTAGCACGAACGTAGGACGAGTCACGGAATATAGGACGAACCTCCACATACAGGACGATCCTAGACACACATGAACATGCACACACATGACGATCCTACACACACACACACACACACAGGACTAACCTACACACATAAATAGCACGAACATACACACACATACACCACGAACCTGCACACACTCAGGACGAACCTACACACACACACTTAAATAACATGAGAATACACACACACAGAAGGAACCCATAAACAAATAAACACACACACACACACACACTCGTACACACAATTCGAACGTACACACATACCAAACAGCACGAACCTAAACGTACCCATTCACATACACACACATTCATAAACAATCATAATATCTTAGTTCTCAGACTGCACAGACATTTTGATGAAACCAACTCAACTTGGCAGTTTACAATACTTCAGGTAAAACTTTAAAAACTCCTAAGGTAAAACAAACTAGATGTTTCTTCTTTTTTGTTTAATTACATCGACATTGTAGTGTTTGCAGGATTATATATTTCGGCATATAGGCATATAATTATATATATATATATATATATATATATATATATATATATATATATATATATATATATATATATGGAATTTAATGAGACGTACCAGTAGTGTTTGCGCACCCGTTGTTTAAGGACTACATCCCCGTGTGAGAAAGTCTAGCACATCCACAATGCCCCACACTGTTTGTTTCTACAACTTGATATGACTTAAGTCACCCTCCAACTTGATATAACTCAAGTCACCCTCCAACTTGATATGACTTAAGTCACCCTCCAACTTAATATGACTTAAGTCACCCTCCAACTTGATATGACTTAAGCCACCCTCCAACTTAATATGACTTAAGCCACCTTCCAACTTAATATGACTTAAGTCACCTTCCAACTTGATATGACTTAAGCCACCTTCCAACTTAATATGACTTAAGTCACCTTCCAACTTGATATGACTTAAGCCACCTTCCAACTTGATATAACTTAAGCCACCTTCCAACTTAATATGACTTAAGTCACCTTCCAACTTGATATGACTTAAGCCACCTTCCAACTTGATATGACTTAAGTCACCCTCCAACATGACATGACTTAAGTCACCCTCCAACTTGGTATGACTTAATGCACCTCCAACATTGAACTTGATATGACGTTTGAGATATATATTAAAACATGTTTGTTAATTAGCGAATCCTGTATCAAAATTAACATACTTTTTGTGCAACTTCTAAAATACTGGACCTATTACATAACTTCATTTTGCTCTGCAAAATATCACAATTATATTATAGCACAATAATACCAATATATCAGTACCTCCATTTAGAATAAATAGACCAACTTATTACCTGCTTTTAGATATTCATCAATTCTATTGACGCACGCATGATATATTTGGTTAAAAACAGGTCTTTACGATCGATCTAAGCTTTAAGATTTTTTTAAACCATTAATATGTAGATTTATTTAAACCGTGTACGTGTTCGTTAAAAACTTTGCATGATTACTAACTAGTACATCTTTATTTATAACCTATACACGTTAATTATAATATCTTAAACGTATGACTTTATAATGTACACATATCAATGTATAAAAATTATTTTAATTTTAAATTTTGCAGGTTAATATATAACATGTATAGGTTAGTATATAACATTTACATGTTAATTATAGTTGTAAGTGTTAATTTGCAATAAGACATAAGCATGTTGTTAAATAGATTTTAATTAACAATTTGCGGTCTACACAAGATTGCTGACTTTGTTCTATAAATACATCATATTATCGGCAACGTAACGAACCACTTTTAGAAGTGAACTACTTCAAACGCTAGACAGCTATAATAAAAAAACAACATTTTTTAACACATAATTTTATAGCCTTTCAAATTTTGTTTTACATCTCCCTGACGTCTGAGAAGTTGGTTTTTTTTTTTTTTTTGGCGGCCCCAGATTTTGGCGTTTTGGTAATCTTTATTACAAATTGTGCCCAGATTGTCGAACTTATTTTGTGGCGAATAAAAAAAAATTGAAATGGTTTTTTATTTGGTCGAGTACCACACAAAAATCCGGACGATAAATAGGTCTGGTATTCGGTTCTACTGTGATTGCTTGGCTTGCGTGATGTTGAGTGGCCGGATAAAATGACGAAATAAAGTTGAAATTTATTTTTGTGACTTGACGAACTGGCGATTATAACGAAATCTGAGAAATAAACATATTTATAATCGGCAAGCTGTGAGGAAAATATAGCCGAGTTAAACAGGCTTTTAACAAGAGTGCTCAAGAGAAATGTGAAGGATTATGTTTGAATACAAGTCTCAAGTTCCTATAGCTATCAACTCTACAACTGTTTAGTTGAAGATGATGGAATCAAAACAAAAAAATGGAGTGCTATATTTTTTGAATAAATATATGGATTTAGACACAGCATTTCAATTCGTATTGTACCCGAACAACCAAGAAAATATGAAATAAAAACAAATAGCCATTAAATAACAACAAAAAGCCAATTAATAACAACAAAAAGCCATTGAATAACAACAAAAAGCCATTGAATAACAACAAAAAGCCATTGAATAACAACAAAAAGCCATTGAACAACAACTAAACTAAATTGAGTTCCAACAAAAGACTTTAAATAACAGCCAAAATGTTTAGGAACTGTCGCTTAAGTTCATCGTTCTAACAAAACCCTGTTTCAGTTACGTCTTTTACCTACTTGTATTTTCATCTTTGTTTTCATCTGTCAGCATCTGTTACGTCAATGAGCTTAATTATCATCGTCCGTAATTTTTAACATGAACATAACTAATCTCTACGGACTGGAGATTCCCCTGTGAGTGGTACCATGGGTGCTACCATGGGCGGTACCATGGGTGGTACCATGGGTGGTACCATGGGCGGTACCATGGGTGGTACCATGGGTGATACAATGGGTGGTACCATGGACGGTACCATGGGTGGTACCATGGACGGTACCATGGGTGGTACCATGGACGGTACCATGGGTGGTACCATGGACGGTACCATGGGTGGTACCATGGGTGATACAATGGGTGGTACCATGGGTGGTACCATGGGTGGTACCATGGGTGGTACCATGGGTGGTACCATGCGGATGAGAAGGAATCCTAAATCACATGAGTGATGGTCGCAGACACAAAAAACTTAGTTCACTCCCTGAAGTGTGGGACTTTGAACTGAATATTTGAATTACTGAACCGAATTTTTGAATTACTGGACTGAATGTTTGAATTACTGAACTGAAGTTTGAATTACTGGACTGAATATACTTCACAAGTTGGGGAATTTAAAATCTAGAACGAATGTAAGCGTAAGTGTTTCAACGGTGTGGAAGAAATCAAATGAAAGTTTAAAAAGCTGGAACGTTAATTTAAAAATAAACAAAACAATAAATCAAAAGTTGGATAGTGAAAAAGTAAATAAAAAACTGAATAATATTTCAAGAAGAAAAATTAAACGAAATTTAACCAGGCAAGAAGATATGTCAATATTTTCTAACGCATAAAAATACATAGAGGATAATTTTAAAAACTAAACAAAAATAAATGCCAGAGAAATTATAACACACAGGTAAGGTACTCACTTAGAATTGATCAGGTAACTCCTTATAAACCTCCGAGTCTGCAACAAACATGGCCAATCATGACGAACCCAGCGTCCAGACAAGTTTTAAACCAATATTTAATTAACCTAATTAGGCTAGATGCCAAATGTAAGATTTTTTTTTGAAAAGACACCTCAGAAATCACACTAAATCAAAAAAATTTAATTCTGCTCGAATTTTGTTTCAATTATTTTTAATTAACTCAATTAAATTAAAATTAATTATAATTCGATGCAAAATAAGTTCGAGATTTTTTTATCAGACATTTATCTCAGCAGACGGCATCTCGGTGAGTCCAATTAAGACATCTTTCATCGCTGATATCTTTGCGCCAATCATGACATATCCTTACACCACTTACAGATACAATTCCGCTAGACAAATTGAAAGATTTTATCTTGATAAATCTGTTCGGGTTTAACACAATAATGTATCTTTTTTAAATCACGCTTAGACATAAAACTTCATGGTTTTTGTAAAATTTAAAATGTTCCAAATTTATTAAAAATCAAAATCTCTCAATTTGTAATAATCAAAATGTCTCAATTAAAAAAAATTAAAATGACGTGTATCCTTTCAATGGCACGAGAACTATCCACGTATGGCGTCACCTGTATGGCCTCAGGTAATCTAAAAACGAGATTTATTTAACCTAAAAGTTCAATATCCCAAATCTTGCAACAATTCGAAGCGCGATTATCCCAAATCTTGCAAAAATTCGAAGCGCGATTATCCCAAATCTTGGCGTCAGTTGATGCCACGTATGACACGACCGTCACAGTTTAACGGCTGTTTAACTCATCCACTGACAAACATTGTCCTCATCAGCGCCGCTTTGTTCAGCGACGTGCGCATTCATATATCGCTATCGTCTGCTTTTCTTTTCTCCCTCGCGTTAACGGCAGTTCTTCCTCCTTTTCTCCGCAACCGGGGATTTTATTTTTCCTCGCGCGCGAAACGCACGCGCGCTCACATCTCGTTATGCGCGAGAAACGCCGGTGCCCCACTCGTCGTGTATCGGCCTGACATTCTACTTGGGGAGATAAATCTTTCAATGATTGCTATTTTTTTTTTAAAATACGGCTCGCGTAAAATCAGCATACATTAATTCCTCTCCCTCTTCCGACTTTTGTTACAATTTTGTTACATTGACATTTTTTTACCGAATTCTCATAACTATGAAGTATCTGTTTATCGGCCGCTTTTAGTCACCGAAAGCGCTAATCTATTTTTGTTATTAATTTTTGACCAGAAATGGCAAATGGTTTTTTTTTTATGCCTGCATCCATAATTCTGAATATAATATTCCTGTACACGGAGAGAAAAACTAATCTGTATTGTCATAAAGCAAACACAAAAACTATAAACTTAAGCAATACTTTTTTTTTATTATCAATACACAAAACACTAAAACTATAAACTTAACAATACTATTTTGTATTGTCAACAGACAAAACACAAAAACTATAAACTTAAGAAATACTATTTTGTATTGTCCGTGAAAGAATCACCAATGTGATGAATCCCTTTTAAGTTAAGATACACGTTAGAGATACAAGCAATGTTTTCTCTAGGCTTCACAGTCGCGCAGTAGTTGCTGACCCTCCGTGTAGTCATTTTGTACAAAACAATAAAAACTGTACGGTCACAGCGCACACAAAATACACACTGTACCAGGTGGGACAAAACGGGAGGGGCAGGGTTGGCATGGGGTGGGGGCCATCAAGGAGTAGACTGGACAGCTTATTGCAGAAATACTTACGCAATAGGGGAGTGAGAAAGAGAGCCGAAAATTGTAAAAATAAACTGCGTATTCCAACGAGCACCCCCGCCCCCCCCCCCCCCTCCCAATGGGGTTATTGGATGATTGATTGTATGATAATGCTCAAGTTATGCATGTGTGCTCTTCTATGTTGTGTTAGGGGAATGCTAATAAAATATTTTTAATAAAAGCAATACTAAACGACGTTATGGCAACCTTTTAAGGTTCGCAAATGTCCTTGGGTGTTTGATAGTTATGTGCCTTGGGTGTTTGAGTGAGTTATGTGCCTTGAATGTTCGGGTGAGTTATATCCCTTGAGTGTTTAACTAAGTGTAACACATATGGTTACTAGCCAAAGGGGGATAAAACTATGAAGTTTTTATTCATTGGGTTGCGGCCCCTGTGGGACTGCAACTGAACTGTTGACGTTTTTTTATGCTTTTGTGAGCGAAATTACACTTGTGTTCCATGTCATGTGACATGTGCCTAGCCGTGTCGCACACGCAAGGCTGCTGTCTGTGGACCAAGATGTAGACCTAATGAAGGTAGTTATATAAATTATGTTTGTTTAAATACTTATGTATTCCTGCTAGTGTTGCATGTGCACACTAGTTAGGGTGATGTATTAAATTAAGTATTTATTTTGTAGTACTACTTATTGGTACTTGGTGGCAGTACTGTGTACTGGCCGAAAACATAATTTATTGTACCCGTGTATATTGTAGCTTACACGTGGTGTTGTCCTGAATGTAACTTTTTTATTTTACATTTGTTTTAGGGCTACAGTTTTCTGTTTCTATTTTGATCTTTTGATCTTTTGATCTTTTGGTCTTTTGGATTGTTTGGATCTTTTGGTCTACCTTGGCTAGTTCGTTTTGTGTTGCATCGCCGTCATGGCTCGATGCTATAAATAAACGAGTACTTGACAACAACTGTCGGCGTCGGTGTGTACTTAATCTCAGGGTCAGCCCGTCTTAACCACAACACCTCAGTGGGTAAAAGCATCCCCACTGAGTGAGGGTTACATTTGGCGCCCAACGTGGGGCTTGACTTTGAGAGGTAGGATGGAACACGGTGAGCCGACGTTTGAGAAGTTGTCGCAGGAGCTGGCCAAGTTGAGGGCTACGATGGCGGAGCTAGAACAGACAAGTGCGCAGCGGCCCGTGACGGTGGAGGTGTGCATGTCAACACACAATAGGCTGAACCTGTTCACCGGCCTTCCCCCCACTGGAGGAGGGGAGGTGAGTTTCCCGGACTGGGAAACCCAAGTGCAATGTTTGCTGCGGAACACCAGCGTTCCGAACCCGTTGCCGCGCATTTTAGGCAGCCTGAGAGGGATTGCCTATGAGCATGTAAAGCAGGCTACGAGTCCAGAGGAAGTGCTAAGCCTACTACAAAGCACTTTTGGCGACACTCGATGTGCCGATGACAGGTATCTGCAGTTCAGCCGACTCACTCCACATCCAAGAGAGTCAGCGTCAAAATTTCTCTGCCGACTGTGGTCAGAGATGACGAAGCTAAACCAGCAGCGTAGCTTTACTGAGGCCGATGCCCAGAAGAAGGTGTATCACACTTTCTGCAAGGGGGTTTCACCTCTTCTGGCGCTCGAACTTCGTGGCACATTTGGTTTCCCAGGGGAAGCCAGCCCAAAGTTGGGGGACGTCCTGAAAGCTGTTAGAAGGCTGGACGGGACGACTGAGTTTCGAGTCGAAGCCACGGCAGCAGCTAACAGGACTGTCCAGGTCGACGCAGTAACGGCAGCTGTTCGCCAAGAGACGACGCCGCCGCTGATGCTCACGGAGGAGCAACTCGACCGTCTGGCGCAGAAGGTCGACGCAGTAACGGTAGCTGGTCGCCAGGAGACTACGCCGCTGATGCTCACGGAGGAACAACTCGACCGTCTGGCGGAGAAGGTGGCAGATATCCTAGCCCGGAAACAACAGCCCTCCAGAGGAGCTTGTTACGGGTGCGGGTCCACGAAGCACTTCGTCCGCGACTGTCCGAGAAAAGCAGCTAGGCAACGGGGTCAGCAGCAGGGAAACGCCAGTCCATCAGCGTCGGGGAGCGGATGCTGATGCGTGTTCTGCCAAGCTCCCAGCCCAAGTTTACGCCACCGAGATCAGCACAGTGTCGAGCAACCACAGCTCAGGTTACCTGGCCTAGCGGCTGGAGATACGGCTGTCGGGTGTTCCGCCGTGGAGGAGGGTTGCCGGAGGGTGCGCGTGAGAAGGGTAGACAGCCACACCATGAATGTCAGTCTCAGCGCGAGCAAGATCGTCGCTTGGGAGACAGACATGACACAAGCAGAGGTCGGAGACGCCGCCGGAGGAGAGGCCGACGACGTGGTAGACGCCGCCGTGGTTGGCAGCGACCCGACTATACAATGTCGAGTGCTGAACCCACTGTGGCGGAGGGGGAGCGACGGAGAGAGATCGTCCCAACCAGTGAGGCAGATGAAGGTGAGGAACTGACAATCAAGGTAGTGGTCCCAACCAGACTTCGGCCGGAGGCAACGCCTTTCGTGCCCGAGGTGGTCGCCCAGGACGGACAAGAAAAGGGGATGGTCAGGCCAGCCCCACATCTGAATGAGGTGAATGCGAGGGACGAGGCATCGGACGAGGATGACTCTTGGATCAACCCAGAACCACCAGCGGAGCTGCGGAGGTCAACCCGTCAACGACGACCCGTCGAGCGACTCAACCTGGCGCATCAAGTGGTGACCAGTACCAGCACTGGAGCCTCTACCGGTTTGCCGGGAATAATCTATTTAAGTTGAAAGGACTTAATGTCTGTGTACTAGTGTACTGAACTTTTTTTTTAAGTACTATTATGTATGAGTGTAAATGTAAATGTAAATGTGAATTCCATTGTACATTTATTTGTGAGGGGGGCTGTGTAACACATATGGTTACTAGCCAAAGGGGGATAAAACTATGAAGTTTTTATTCATTGGGTTGCGGCCCCTGTGGGACTGCAACTGAACTGTTGACGTTTTTTTATGCTTTTGTGAGCGAAATTACACTTGTGTTCCATGTCATGTGACATGTGCCTAGCCGTGTCGCACACGCAAGGCTGCTGTCTGTGGACCAAGATGTAGACCTAATGAAGGTAGTTATATAAATTATGTTTGTTTAAATACTTATGTATTCCTGCTAGTGTTGCATGTGCACACTAGTTAGGGTGATGTATTAAATTAAGTATTTATTTTGTAGTACTACTTATTGGTACTTGGTGGCAGTACTGTGTACTGGCCGAAAACATAATTTATTGTACCCGTGTATATTGTAGCTTACACGTGGTGTTGTCCTGAATGTAACTTTTTTATTTTACATTTGTTTTAGGGCTACAGTTTTCTGTTTCTATTTTGATCTTTTGATCTTTTGATCTTTTGGTCTTTTGGATTGTTTGGATCTTTTGGTCTACCTTGGCTAGTTCGTTTTGTGTTGCATCGCCGTCATGGCTCGATGCTATAAATAAACGAGTACTTGACAACAACTGTCGGCGTCGGTGTGTACTTAATCTCAGGGTCAGCCCGTCTTAACCACAACACCTCAGTGGGTAAAAGCATCCCCACTGAGTGAGGGTTACATAAGTAAGGTATTTTTAATGTTTAACTGAGTTATGTACCTTGAGTGTTTGACTGAGTTATGTACCTTGAGTGTTTGACTGAGTTATGTACCTTGAGTTTTTCACTGAGTCATGTACCTTGAGTTTTTGACTAAGTTATGTACCTTGAGTTTTTTACTAAGTTATGTACCTTGAGTTTTTGACTGAGTTATGTACCTTGAGTGTTTGACTGAGTTATGTACCTTGAGTTTTTGACTGAGTTATGTACCTTGAGTTAAAAAACAGATAAGAATACCTGATTTATATGAACGGTCTGTATCGTGGGGGGGGGGGGGGGGGGGCTAATCGCTAGTGTATTCAAAAAGGTCAAGGTTATGATGGTCTAGTCATGTATGTGATGTCATTGAAGGAGGTGGGGTGTTAGGGGTGTGGTCAACAGGTGGTCATATATGTATAAAGGGGGGGGGGGGGGTCGAGGAAAATGTGTGGGTAAGGACGGACTTACAGTGACGTGTGTAGATTGGACACCGACAGAAGCTAATTGCTAATCTATATATATAATTCTCTTCTTCGAGCCGTTAGAAAACAAGCTGCAAACTCTCTCCCTACCTCCCCACCCCTACATGGTTTTAGTGAGCTGTGTTCACTCTAAATGTTTACAAGCAGAGCCAACGATTTTAAACGTAGGGGGGGGAGGAGGGGGGAGGGAAGGAAGGGGGGGGGGGGGTTATGGTCCTTAACGAGCTACTTATAGTGTTTTAAAGAAATATTTTCAGTGTCAGCGTTGGTACTGTCGAATTCACAAATTATGAATTATTGAAAATTAGAAACAACTAAATAGCGGCGTATGTTATGCCGCGGGCCGGCTCGTTTAAATTACTTCAACAACTACACGCCCCGCCTGATTGATAGGCTAATAGAAATCAATGTCTGACCTAAAAATGCAGCAATTACATTTGTTATAAACGTGTAATCGAATGAAATACATCAATAGATTATATCGGATAGTTGTATCAAGCGCAGAGTGGCACGGTTCAGTGAATATCAAGGTCATTGATTTACAGGTAATTTACAGGTCAAGGTCGCTTTTGTTGATGCTGGTTGGTGGGAGAAATGACAAGTTTTCTTGAGGACAAGCTTCTAACGACAAGTTCTCTCTATGGCAAGTTACTAATGACAAGTTTTCTATCAATAGCAAGTTTCTAATGACAAGTTTTCTATGTATGAAAAGTTCTTTCTATGAAAAGTTCTATCTATGACAAGTTCTCTTTTTGATAATTTCGCTCTATGACAAGTTTCCTCTACAATAAGATCTCGTTGGGTCAAGTTCTCCCTAATAACAAGCACGCCTTGACAAGTTCTATATAAAAACGCACACACACACACACACATTAAAAAGCTGACAACAACGATACCATCTGTGGACCACTCTGTCTGCAGATAGAAACCAACAAAATCAATCAACCCTCTACTCTTCTTCCTCTGCACTGACAGCTCCACCACCCCTTGACCCCCCCCCCCCACCCCCCACCCCCATCAACAGCGACGAGATGACAGATGGATATTACCTGTCTGGGCGCCCACCATGGACCATTGCGTCACTTCCGGCTCCAAGCAGGTGGTCTGTCCGCCTGATCAGTCGTCTGTCGATCGTTCGATCAATCGATACGGCACGATTTGTCCGGCTCCGTTTATTTCAGCTGACCTGTACGTCAGTTACCTGAAGTTGTCCGTTATATACCTGAAGTTGTCCGTCAGTTGGGGTTAGGTAAAAATAGACTAGAATAGTATAGAACTTAGGGGAGTTGAGTTAACGCCAGTGTGTTGTTGTATATTTATCCCAAGTTAGAATGTGGGTGTAGATAGTGGAGGGGGGGGGGGTGTTGACTGCTAGAAAATATGTACAAGGTTATGACAAAGACGTAAAAAATACTAACACTTGGCTGGTATACTATTGGGCTTGGTGGCTGGTGTACTAGTGGGCTTGGTGGCCGTGTAGGATTGGTGGGCTTGGGGGCCGTGTAGCACTGGTGTACTAGTGGGCTTGGTGGCCGTGTAAGGCTAGTTGGCTTGGGGGCCGTGTAGGACTGGTGGGCTTGGTGACCGTGTAGGACTGGTGGGCTTGGTGACCGTGTAGGACTGGTGGGCTTGGTGACCGTGTAGGACTGGTGGGCTTGGTGACCGTGTAGGACTGGTGGGCTTGGTGGCCGTGTAGGACTGGCGGGCTGATGTGTTTTGCGGCCGTTTGACGTGTAGGCTGTTCTAGAAAAGATATGAACTCTTGACGTCACCAATGAGTGTAACGTTTCCGTTGACCTACGTCATCATCGAGCCACCTTAAAGTACATCTTTTGTTCAACGCGAAATTTTATTTTATTATTTCCCCTCAAAAGTCATGCGCATGCGCACTATCCTTTACAAAAGTTTGCCCTCTCCATCAATAGCATCCGTCTGTTCGAGAACATTGTCCAATTATTCACGGAGCTCCACCCAACAAGGATCTGAACACAGAACTCCAATTATTCACGGAGTTCCACCCAACAAGGATCTGAACACAGAACTCCGCTGAATTTTCAAAGCAACAAAGACAACCATGAATAAATAAAAACACACAAAAAATATTCCGAACCCCGGAGAATCAGAAAATCGTAATTGATTTTTGAGATTTTAAATTTTTTTAAATTTTGCTAGTCTGGACATAAAAATGTCGCGTCAAAAAAGGAAAAGCTCCAGGGATTTGTTCTCAATGTGAAACTCCCTTAGCTGTTTTTCCAGTTGAGATGTCTTCAATTCATGAACATTGCTGTTTTTAATAACAAAAGAAAAATGAATCTATTGGGGTGTATTTTAGCTCGGGGCTCGTCAAAATTTGGAGAGGGTGGAGGTAGGAGTTGAAAAGTTTTGTACCGAATGTTTTGTTTTTAGACAGTGATGCGAGCAGTAAAAGAGAAAAGTTTTGTACCGAATGTTTTGTTTTTAGACAGTGATGCGAGCAGTTAAAGATGATTGGGTGGATCTCGGCACTCATTAATTATGTATGTAGGTCAAACAATCTGTTGCGTTGTCTGTGGGGGGGATGGGGAGGGGGGGGGGTAGACACTGTTTAAATTATATTGAGGTTTTGTATGAAGTGAGGTAATTTTTTGACAGAACTTAGTGCATGTTTCTTACATGGTAGGTCATGTTTAAATTGAATAGTAGGTCATGTTTCAATTGAATAGTAGGTCATGTTTAAATTGACTTGTAGGTCATGTTACAATTGAATTGAAGGTCATGTTACAATTGAGTTGAAAGTCATGTTTTGAAGTGTAAATCGTGTTGTATTGGGCTGTAGGTCATGTTTGACTGAGCTTATCTTACCTTTGAAATAGCTCATGTCATGTATTTTTCAAGTTTTAGTCATGTATTACTGACGATTTTTCAAAAGTTAGGTCATGCTTTAATGAAGTGTAGGTATCTTTGACAGAGCAAAGGTCAATGTTTGTTTAAGGTGTAGGTCATGTATTGT